CATCCATAATAGTGTCTTAGAGGGTGTTTGGCTAAGCTTATAAGATGTTAAAAGGAGCTTATAAGATGTTTTAGAGCTTATAAGCTCTTCCAAAGTGTTTGGTATTTTTTTTTTAAAGATCTTAATTTTTTTTAAAATAAGCTGTTGGAGAGCAAATAAGATCTTTTTAAATAAGTACCTCTACCCCCACCTTTTTATTTAAGATCTAATAATGAATAAAAATAGGAAATAAGTTCATTATCCAAACACTCTAAAAATTAATCTTAAAAATAAGATGTAACAGCTTGTCAGCTCTAAAAACATCTTATCAGACGTAAGAGCTTATCAGCTATTTAAAATAAGCTTAGCCAAACACCCTCTTATTCTATGTTTATGACCTGAATGTGCATGAACTACGATGTTATGTTCAAAGGGTATATTTTCATTATTTGCTTCAACCCATATAGCTGTAACTTGATCCGTTCCTGGAGCATTATATACTCGTTGATCTAATCTCACATCTTTAGATATATGGAGTTGAACGTCATCCACGGCAGGATCGTGTTTTAATCTTCTGAAGATTTTGCATATGGATTTACCTCCAAGATTTGGATAAGTCGCTCCACAGTACCTCCCGATAAAGATGGATTTTGTAGTACCTTCAACCGGTTATCAACCTCATTGTCAGTATCAACAAAATACAACTGAAAGTTGCTTGGACCTTCTTCAGCTGGATATAGTCCTGGAAGGTCATCATAAACCATTCCTTGTGCTCTGAAAGTATAAACTTCACGTCGTGCAGATGCAAGCTCCTTATCTAACTTGACACGAAATGAGGTAAATGAAAAAATGCAATTGAAGATGCGGATGTTGTTTCGAAATCCAACTGAATCTTCTGTTTGAGAGGTAAATAACTCGTATAAATCATCTAGAACTTCAATAGGTGAAAGTTTGATTTTTCCATTTCCACAACAAAATGTTGGAGGCTCGTATTCAAATCTGACAGCACCATAATGGATACATTCGGGCATTGATTTTAACTCATACAATTCAGAGTATACTGGATCATAGGAAACAGAACCTGCGGGAAATATACATAAATAAATTTTATATTTATTAATATGATTCTATGACGGTAAAATATCTTATTATATAACTTTTTTATACAATGGAAGATTTAAGAACAATAACCTTTTGATTCATACGGGATCATTTAAGCGCTAAGAAGGCTTGAAACTGACGCATAATTTCTTGCTTGTCGTTGCTTTCTTGATTCGGTAACATGTTGAATGTAATTTCTTTTTTCTTCCGGAGATAGATTCTTGTACTTATTGTTCTTCAACTTGGATGTTGGTTTAGGTACATTATTCAATTGTCTCCATTGCTTGACTTTATTAATATATTCTTGTTTCTCTGTGACGCTTAAACTGGCATACATTCTCTTCATTATATCTCGTCTTCATTGACGTAATACATCTATCACGATAAAAGAAAAAAAAAATATATCAATGACTTCATAATATCACTAAATTGTATGAAGCAAAAAATGAAAATATATTAACTTGTATGAAGCAATAAATTAAAATATATCAACTGTACCTGAGCTTGAGTTCGAGAGAACATCTTGCTTATGCATCACCATTTTGGAAAACTCCTTACAAAAATACATGCAAATTAAGGTGGAAAAATCATTACAATCACTTTAATTGTATCATATTTATCTAAAATCAATATTAAGAAGAAAATGTATTCTACCTTGCATTCGTAACATAATCTATACGTCCATTTCCATTTAGGAACAATTTTTTTAATAGCTCATCTTAATCTGATTGTGTTAATTAAATACATATGTAAAGCATTCATTTGTAGTTATGTAACTATTTCTAATTACTCTATTTTAATTAACTCAATATGTATGTAAAGCATTCAGTTGTAGTTATCTACCTATATCTTTTCACACCTACAAAAACCATCAGCATATTTTAAACCATATTACGATGATAACAATTTGGGCCCCCTTGAAAATGTATATATAAACAGTTGAATGATATGCACTACTTATCCATTTCAGCTTGTTGAAAACCAATTATTTCATATTTTTATTTCATGTGTTCGAGTATGGTTTTAAAAAAATCCTAATAATAATAATTAAAAACCAAATAGAAACACAAAGTGGAATACTCTCTTAGATAATTGCTTCCTTTTGGAACTAATTTTAGCATTGATAAATGAAATAATACAATGTATTTTTATGTAACGAAAGGAATATAAACTAATGCTTTCATAAATTCGTTCATGGTGGGATAAATGGCTACAAAAAATAAATATGGGGACATCAAAGCGAAGACAATCCATCAATTAAAAAATTGAAGAGAACAGAAAACTTATAATTTACCTTTAGCCGCACAAATTTGGCAACGTCTGTGACGGTATATTGTGTACTAGGAATCATTTTGTGATGGTATACTGCTACTGGGAATGTGCAGCGAATTGAGAAGGTATTATAACTGCAACACCAAAAAAAATTTAAATGAGGAAATATTTGAACATAAAGTTAATAAGGAATTAAGAGAAACGCTCACAAAAATAAAACACTAACTCTGAAATTTACCTTTGAATTATTTCACATCACAAAAAATGAAATGAAATTTAGCTTTGAATATGGAATGCTTCGCTGGAAAAAAAGTTGGGAGCTTCAAGTTGAACAATATAAAGGGTTTATCAAATGGATGTTGATGTTACAAGTTGACTCATCATATACATTGTATTAAAAGCCTTGTATATGAATTTATGAGGCACCATGTTACAAGTTGACTCATCATATACACTGTATTAAAAGCCTTGTATAATCATTTGTTTACAGTTCCTCTTCAGACGTATGCACTATTGAATTTCAGAAACGAGGTCTACTACATGCACATATTTTGTTGTGGTTGAATAATTATGACAAGCCCAAGACCCCAGAAGAAATTGACCGAATTATATGTGCTGATGAAATTTCTGACGAAAAAACCGACTAAAAGATGTATTGGTTGGTGGAGAAGTGTATGATACATGACCGTGCGGTCCGACAAATTTGAAATCTCCCTGTATAAAGGATCGAGTTTGCACGAAGCAATTTCCAGAGCCATTTGTACAGCGAACTGAGTCAGATGCACATGGTTATACTGTGTACAGGAGAAGGGAAGATGGCAGAACAATTATGAAGAAAAAGACTACTCTTTGACAATGGGTTTGTAGTTCTGCACAATAGGGTATTATTGAGTAAATATAGAGCTTACAGAGATATGTAACCAAAACAAGTCAATCAAATACATGTTCAAATACGTCAACAAGGGCCATGATCAAGTTACAGCGGCGTTTTATGAAACACGCAATACAGATGGCGGTGTTGAGGTTCGTGACGAGATAAAGATGTACTACGACTGCAGATATCTTTCGGTATGTAAGGCAATGTCGAGGCTGCTTAATTTTTATATTCATTACAGAGATCCATATGTAATTAAACCAAGCTTGCATCTCCCCGATCATCAGCCACTTTTTCTTAGCGTGGCTTGAGGTGAACAAGAACTGTCCACATGCCAGGGACTTGAGGTACGGAGATTTTCCACAGCAGTTTGTGTATAAGGAGGATTCTCCCACTTGGGCACAAAAGGATTTTCTATTGGTAGGATTGCGAATGTCCCCCCTGGAAAGGGGGAGGACTATTACCTTATGTTACTACTTAACATTCAGAGGGGTTGCACGTGATACGAGGACATCAGAAATGTGACGTCTACCCTACGCTCAGGGATGCGTGTTATGTGTTGGGTTTGTTAGACGACGACAAAGAATACATAGATGCGATAAGAGAAGTGAATGCTTGGGCATCTGGGGATTATATAAGGAGGTTATTTGCGGTTATGCTGCTTTCCAATAGCTTAAGCCGGCCCGAACATGTTTGGCAAAGTTGTTGGTCGGATTTGGTGGAGGGTATTGCTTACAAACAACAACGACTTCATAATAATCCAGTTATGGCAATGTGTATAGAACATTATTCAATTAGATTTTAAATATTACTCATTTTTTAAATATTGTCTCTTTATGTTTTGAACTAAATGCACATAATGTTTCAAATTTTTGTGTCGATTTATCTATATCGGTTGAAATCTTGATGAACTATACTCTCACTAAAATAGAGAAAATATTGCAAAGTAATGGTAAAAGTCTACGTAATTACGCGCCCATGCCATTTCCAATTGAATTCGCGGTGGAGGACAAAGTAAACATATTGGTCTTAGATGAACTGGATTACGACCGGTTTGAAATGGGTAAAGAACTTCAACGGTGTCTTGCCTCAATTACAGACGGGCAAAGAAAGGTTTATGATGTATTCATGGACGCTGTATCCAGTGACCGTGGTGGATTGTTCTTTCTATACGGTCATGGTGGAACGGGAAAGACGTTTCCCTAGAAAACTCTTTCAGCTATGTTCCAAGGAAGAGATTGTAATTAATGTTGCATCGAGTGATATAGCATCACTATTGCTCCCCAGTGAAAGAACAACTCATTCTCGATTCGGACTACCCATAAATAATGTACACGAGACTACCACCTGCAGCATAACGCAACAAAGTCCATAGGTGGACTTGCTGATTAGGGCTAAACTTATTATATGGGACGAGGCTCCAATGATGCATAGCAACTGTTTTGAAACACTTGACAAGACAGTGAAGTCAATATTACAGGTAGAAGAACCATTTGGAGGTAAGGTGGTTGTTCTTGGAGGAGATTTTAGGCAGATTTTACCAGTTGTATTCAAAGCATCAAGGCAGGACATAGTACTTGCTACGGTAAACTCCTCTCCGTTGTGGCATTTCTGTCATGTCATGAAGTTGAGTAAGAACATGAGATTGCAGTCATGTTCTTCTCCATCTAATGTGGATGATGTAAGAGAATTTGAAGACTGGATATTGAAGGTTGGTAATGGGGATGTTAGGGAATAAAACAATGGTGAAGCTTCGCTAGAGATTCCCGAGGACATGCTGATTGGTGATTCAGAAGATCCATTCAGAGACCTACTTAACTTTGTTTATCCCGATTTGTTGAGTTACATCTATGATCCAGATTATTTTCAAGGGAGAAAAATTCTTGCACCAACTAATGAATGCGTCGAGTATGTGAACGATCAATTAATGTCTCTCCTTCTAGGTGATGAGAAGGTGTACCTGATTTCAAATAGTATATGTATGGACCAGCAAACAACGGAGGACAATGTAGAAATCTTTTCGACTGAATTTCTCAACACAATAAGATGCTCGGGAGTTCCTTCTCATGTATTGAAGTTCAAGGTCGGTGCACCAGTTATTCTAATAAGAAACATCGATCAAGTTAGAAGTTTGTGCAACAGGACTAGACTTCAAATTATTAGAACCGGCATTCACATACTGAATTGCAAACTTATTTCCGGTAAAAAATATCGGTGACATTGTGTTCATTCCTCGGATGACTTTAATACCATTTAACTCCGGGCTGCCAATTAAATTTCAGAGAAGACAGTTTCCGTTGATTGTTTCTTTTGCAATGACGATCAATAAAAGCCAAGGTCACACTCTTTCGCATGTTGGTTTGTATCTTCCTAGGCCTGTCTTCATTTATGCTCAACTATATGTTGCACTGTCCAGAGTTAAGAGTAGAGATTGCATTAAGATATTCATCAAGTCGGATTCGGGTGAACTCACCAATGTTACTAGAAATGTCGTGTACAAGGAAGTATTTCATCGAATTTCAAGATAGAAAATATTTTCATATTTATTAGTTCTTCGTGTAACATGTCTTGGTTTTTATGTTTTTTTAACACCTTATTCTTGATAGGTCTATCTTTCCTATATGTTTTCCCCCGTGCCATGTTGTTTTCAGTCATGTCCCTAGGATGCTCAGTGCAAATATTATTATCTTTAAGATTTATGTTTGTCGATATACTAATATTTAATATTATGTTTATATTATAACTATGAAAAACATGATACTCATAACATATTTTTAATATATATTGTTGGTCGATGACGTTTTGTACTTAAATTCAATGAGCGTAACAATTTATATTTGCGTAAATTTGTGTTTTACCGACGTGTATTCTCAGTTGAAAATATGCCGCCCCGTGCATCGCATTAAAGGAAAATAATCATCTGACCCGGGTATTTAGAGTTTCCGGTTTTTTTAGGTTGGATTGGAGAGCGGATTAGCCTTCCCTCCCCAACCGGTCCGGTCGGTGGTATTGAGAACATTGGTTTTTTTTTTCTTTAAAATTTTATTCAATTCCCTTGCGCGCGTACCTCAGCTTCCCATCAATCATTCAATTGGGAAGCATCTCTTTCTTTTGAAGAAGATGGAAATTAAGGTTTTTCTGTTCGTTCTCTGCATTTTCTTGAGCTCAATTCCTGCCCAAATCTTCCTTCCTTCAGATGTCAAGAACGATATTGATCGGTTGATTTTGGACTTGAATACAATACGTTGGAATATAATGCAGACGAAAAAATCAACCACATACCCGAAGTCTTTAATGCAGTGTATGTAGTACGGTTTTCTCTTCTTAAAGAATTCCATTTTTCTCAAATCATATTGTCGGATTTAATGACTAATTTTCCCGTTACAGGCTAATAGAACTAGTAACTCTTGCGCACGCGATGGTTCTCATATCCATTATAGGACTCGGTATGCTAATCAAATTACCTTTTTTTTTTTTTTTTAATTAGCTAATGGCTGCGTACTTTACTTTTCTCTCTCTCGTCGCAGTGCTATCTTACCTTCGGTGTCGACGTGCTATACACATGTGAGTTTTCTTTGCTAGGGGTTGAATTTAAGTTATGTGATCGGGTGATTTTACTCGTGTTTATTCATCAAATTTCCGAACCACTTCATATTCTTGCAGATTCCTCATTAGTCTATGGTTACTTCTGGGATTTATAACGATTCTTGGTGGATTGCTTGGCATTTGCAAGAGTAAAATATGCCAACAATTTTGATGTATTTTCTATATCTATTTGAATTTCTTTTTTGCGCATAATATAAAAGAAATCGTTTATTTTTTGTGGTTTAGTACCATAGTAGATACGTGCATGGCCACGGTAGGTTGGGTGGGGAATCCTCCCGGAGAAGCTGAATTAAGCAATAATATGCTTCCCTGTGTCGACAAAACAATTCATAATCAGACTATTTTCAAGACTAAACAAGTGGTCAACCTTATCGCAAAAATAGTCAATACATTTGTTGATTTTGTTGCCAATTCCAATCAATCAATCAGGGCAGTTGATACCTCACCTCTGCTATCCAGATCTACCGTGTTCGCCTCAAGAACTCTCCATGGAAAATGCATCTTTGGTAATAAGCAGTCTATTTATCATTATTTTATTTTTTTTTGCATGATAAAATTACAAAAAAGAAAAAAAATTACGTGCAGGTTTGGCAGATGTATAAAGGCGTAGCCTCGTCGAACGGGCTATGCATCAGCAAAGGGAGGTTGACTGAAGAAATGTACGTGGAATTGGTGGGGGCTGTTAATGTAAGTTGTGGTCTACAGCGTTATGGTGCACCACCCCTTTCGAGTCTTGAGAAGTGCAACTCTGTGAGTGAGACCTTGCAGAATATTTCCGTCGACTAGACCACCGCCTTTGTATTGAAGGTGCAGGCTTGTTTGTGCTGTCAATGGCAGTGGTGTTGACCTCTATTGTTGCACGGAATATGCCGTTTTGTAATTTTTGATTAAGAGTAGAAAACATGCTTGGGAATTTGCTAGGACACTCTTTATGGTCTGTATTAAACCTTTGGATGCAATCACGTAAGAAAAATTAAGTGGTGGAATGTGATTTTCTACACAAAAATCAAATGTTTAACATAGTTTGTACGTACACTACTTTTCGTACAAACTAGTTATAATCTGCCCCGTTGGACGAGCGGGCCATTATAATATTATGTATAAGGAGCTGTCCATAAGAATAAGGTATTTAAATATATAGCTATGATATTATTTCTCATCACTATTGATTACTCAACTGATTTAATGCGTCGTTTCTCATCTTCATTTGCGGGTTGAAGAAGTAATAACGTTGTTTGAGGAGAGGCTCAGAAATCCCGCCGTGTATCCCTTTTTCTTTTTTTTTTTTTTCCTTTAATTGTTATTCTGTCACAACATATTACTTTGACAATTCCTCCACAGCTTATTAGATAGTGTTATTTGACGAGCTATAGTCCGATCACGTTTAATGCACAGTATGCCAGCTGGAAGGAATGCCTTACAGAAAATCCGTTTCAACTCATAATAAATTGGAAGGAAAACTGTCTAAGCCTCGGAAACTTGAACAAGAATGAAATTTTAGTGCTTTTATGTTTCTGCCTTTGCTAATACTACAAGGTCAAGTAGCAACGCTAAAAATGCGTGATTAATCTATTATTATACTTTATTACGTTATCAAAATCACTGTTTTGATGATGTTTTTTTCTTGTATGGTTTTATTGCAGCAAGGTATCGCAATGTGCTTCAATCTTGTGGTTAAAGAAAGAAGACGAGTTCTTATTTTCTTTTTGCATGCACGGTTTTTTGCTTGTTGCTGGTGCTATGGTCGAGGTAAATTGGGTATATACAGTGGCGAGGCCAAAAAAAGTTGTGAGGGGGGCTTAAACATATCGGGGGTTCGGGGGCAGAGCCCCCGAAAAAAAATTTGCTATCAAAGAAATTTAAGATAAAAATTTGATATGAATTTTTTTTCCTCCATTTTCAGAAGATAATACCAAAGTGAATCGCGAAAGTTAAATTGCTATAAGAGTCTAAGAAACATTAATATCAACTCGATTATGAAATTTACACAATGGACTTTTAATTAATATTCATTATGAAAATTAAGATGAAAGAAAAGACGTCAAACGTTAATTGATTGCCGGTGTGCGTTCGATCGGCTGTGGGTAGCCATTTAACCGCCATTAGTGCAACTATGCAATAAAACAAAGTATTTTTTTTCTTTTTCAAAGAACGAGAACGAAGTTGAGAAATAGAAAATATAGATAAGTCAGACATGAAAGGGGCTTTGATAAGTGAAGCGACTTTGAATAACTCGGCTTAAATGGAGTCAAAGTAACCGACTAAAATAATATAATTGGTTAGGCTACAAAATTAAAAAAAAAAATTATATATATATATATATATTAATAAGTATATATATATTAATACTATATAAGTGTCGTACTCTTGTATTTTACTCTCCACGATTTATTTTCTCTTTTTTTTCAGCCACTTTCCATGTGAAACGGCATCGTTTCACTATATTCCACCAATCATTTGCCTCCATCAATTTCTTTTCGATTTAATTTCAGCTGGTACGATTGCAATCCGCTATTTTGGTGGGCCCATTGGTTTTTCTTTTTCTTTTCTACGTGGGCCCTGCCTTAATAATTTTTGACAAAAAAGGCGGCCAGTTTCTCTCTCTCTCTCTCTCTTCTTTTCTCAGTATACCGCATTCTGCTTGGGTCCCACACACCGTCCATTTTCCTCCTCTGTTTCTCTCTCCACCGGAGAGAACATCTCCTCTCATATCTCTCTCTGACGCCGCGGCCACCGCTCCAAAAAACTCTACACCACTGCTCGCCACATGCTGACCTGGAGAGGCGGTTGACAAGGTCTCGCCGCTTCCGCCGTCGACGGCCATCGACGTTGCATCTGCTTCCACCTACCGGCCAACAACTTCGCCTCCGTCCCGAGATCGGACGCGGACAACTCAAGGTTTTTCTGGAGTTGCTTCTTTCTTTGCTTCAATTTGTTATTGCCCAATCTAGAATTTCTCCTCCCTGCCGAGGAAGCAAAAATGCCCCTCCTTTGCAGCCATCCAATAGGTTTTAATGGGTATACATTTAGAATTGAAATTCAGCATGTACTTATCATCATAGCTTCCTCCTCCTCCTCCTCACTGCCATCCTGGCAGCAGCGGCGGTCTTACAAACTACCCCTCTGTGGAGGCTGCCGCTCTTTCGCGGCGGAGTCAGTGGCTGTGATGGGGCGGCCTTCCTGAAAGATGGGGCTGAGCCGCCGCATGCAAGGGTGAACAGCATGGAGATCTCCATCTTCAAGAACAAACAAACCTTTTCGAACTGATGTTGCCATTGTCGATAATCGAGATTTCATTGTTCGAGTGGTCGGAAAGAGTCAGGGAGGTGGTTGATGGAGGCGAGGAGAATGAATTGGTGTCGAGATTTATTTCGGTTGGGTTTTTATTGTTAGTGTTGTTGTGTGGGATTTTGGGCTTCAATTCTTCGATTTCTTCAGTGGAGACACCCCTCCAACACCTCGTGTGCACTGTTTTTCCAGCTTCATATTCTTCTCCTTCATTTTCAGCAGCTGCCGCATTTTCTTCATATTGATGGTACTGATCTTGTCGTTTTGTAGGTAAAAATTTGCGCTGTGGGTGAGCCGTGGGGCTTGGACAGCCAATCTCCGTTTCATTTCCCGTTTTTTTAATTCCCCACGCCTGTAAAACCGGGTGCCGTTTTAATAGTATATATATATGGGGATAAGCCCTTTTCTTTTTATGCAATTTTTTTTGCCTTTTCTTTTGGCCCATTTAATACCTAAACTACGCCGTTTGATTCCCTCCCACCAATCATCTTCTCACGTTATTTTCTTTTTTATTTACTTCTGGAGCAGCTCGACCGTGATGCGCTTGCTTGATTTTTCCTTTTCTTTTAATCTGTTTTCTGCAGAACGACGTCGTTTTGGACGGCTGAAGCTCAATTGTTATTTTTATTTTCTTTTTCTTTCACATTCTATTAAAATCTAATAGAAATTAAATATATATATATATTTTTTAATACGGGGTCTTCTTTTTTTTTTTCTTTTCACGCAGTCGCACATTTTTTTGCTGAATTGTGACGTTTGTTGCAGTTTTCCACTGTCTGAAATGCTAGGTAAATTGTCCAAATTTTACCAGAGAGTAATATCTCGTTGTTTTTTTTCGGAATATGAAGTTTATTAATTTATGGATTACTTTGCAGAGGGTCACAAAAGCTATGGTGGGCTCGGAACAATTTCAGTGAACAAGGTCCGTAACTCGATAATGCCATCTTTCTTGATTAAATAAATAACACTTGTCAAATTATCATTGGTTCACAAATTACGTTTTGCTTTTTTCCAGGTTTCTCCTGAGTTAGCTAGCCAGTTCGGGGAAGTCGTTGCAGATCCTGTTACGAACGAGCTTTTGCATTATACCGAGAAACCCGAAAGTTTTTTATGTAATAATTCCGAGTTTTTTTTATTTTTATTTTTTTTACTGTAATTGATAATAAGTAGTTACTATATTTTTTTATCTGTTTGTAACAGGTTAGTGACCGTATTAACTGTGGTGTTTACGTATTCACGCCGGAAATCTTTACAGCTATTCAAGGTGTATCCACGCAACGTAAAGAAAGAGGTTAGTTCGTATAGCAATCTTCGGTATTAATACGTTTTTTAAGCTGATTAATTAGCTTAATGATACATTTATTTCTCGTTTTTTTGTTCGTTCTATTTTGCAGCTACTCTAAGACGTGTAACGAGCTTCGAAGCACTTCAACCTGCAAACAGGTACATAAACGCACAATGTACAAACTGCTCGTATATTTTTCCTCATTGTAAGGAGACAAAAAACCGTGTCGGTAAATTTACGATACAAAATTTAATTTGCAAGAATCTTCCGACAGATTTTGTACGATTGGATCAAGATATTCTATCACCACTTGCTGGTAAGAAGCAGTTTTACGTGTACGAAACGATGGATTTCTGGGAACAAATTAAAACCCTCGGGTAAGTTAAATACAGTACAATGTCGTATGCTTCTGCTTCGACTATATATATGTTCTTTAAAGACTGTTATATTCTATCGAACGGGATTTTTTTTAATTTTTCTTTTTTTTTTATTGTGTAGAATGTCGTTGAAATCTTCTGGGCTATATCTCGCCCATTATAGAATAATCTCACCCGATCTTTTGGCGAGTGGAGATGGTTCGAAAAATGCTACGATTTCTGGCGATGCGTATATTCATCCATCGGCAAAAGTTCATCCTACTGCAAAGGTAGTCCCAAGATCCATCATTTTTAGAGTAAATTACAACCACCTCCCTGAGGTGAAGTGTAATTACAAAAAATCCTCTGTTTGAGAAATTACATCCAACCCCCTGCAATTTGAAAATTTCTTACATTTACCCCCTATAAAAGGGTGTTAGCGTATGACATTTACAAATTTCAAGGGGATGGATGTAATTATTGGAAAATGAGGGTTTTTTTTATAAATAGACCTTACTTCTGGGGCAGTTGTAATTTACCCTTTTTTTTTTATATTTCCAATTTTTTTTTTAAATCCATTTCTCCTTCAGAAAGATAAATAAGTTGGATTTTGACGACCCTTAAAAACGATTAGGAAAAAGGTTTGTATTGCACATGTTCTTCCGTTGTACAACTACAGTGGTCCTTCTTCTTTGTAGGTGAAGTAAAAATAGGTGTTTCAGTTTTGCACAAAAATAAACACAAATTGTTTCTTACTCGTATTTCTTTTTTTACAAATACGTTTTTTTTCCCTTCTGTCTGAAGCCTTTAGATTGTGCTGGTAAATGTGTGGACGTTGAAATAACCGCTACATGTATTCTACTGTATTCTTCATGGCTTGCCGATGTACACTGAGAAGGTGAAGATTGCAAGCTATATTATGTATTGTTTTTGTTCTAATTTAACGAACAAATGAACTTCAGTTGCTGTCAATTGACCAGAGCTTGACTGGAATGGAAGGATTCTGTGGCACAAAAGTTGATTGAATTATATCTACGCACTGTGCCTCGCAATGTAGAACTTATTTTATAGATTTATGATTCCATGTTTTTTTTCCAAGTACAAAATGATTTTACTTCAACGGGATTAGATTTTATGCTCGACTGTTCAACAGTATATATTATATGCAACCTGTCGTTGACCTACTACTTGTTTACTGTGCCTTACAGATTTACTTACTGCATTTCTAAATAACCTATATTCTTGAGATCAGCTTCGAAATGATTACAAAGTCCATATCTCTAATAACACTTGCCTTTGAGGTACATGCTTTCATATTCAGAACTTTAGTTTGCCTTATAATTTACAGAAAATTTTTGAATTTTCCTTATCTTTCTATGTGCTCCGTGCCCTGTTACATGACGGGAGTCGTAAATTATTTCATTATGTATTCTTCACGAAAAAATTCAGTAAAATGCATTCGACTGTTGTTGGTTCTGTCTGAAGCCTTTTTTTTAGCCATTTGTATGTTTTGTGCAAATCGCAAACATTGTCCCACAGGCGGCTGTGTTCAGCCTGCAGAGAGTATACATTACTAATTACACATGGTTATTAATTTTAGACTAAAGTTGTGGTATTGAAAATAACCAAATCAAACTTATCTTATGTTTTCCTCAGCTAAGGTTTCTTCTTCTTTATTGTTGTGCACGTATCTGTAACAAAAACAACTTCACCAATTTGCGCCGTGAGCAGGTTGCCGCAATTGAAATTCGGGCTCTTTATCCTCCGCCGTGACTTCACCAGAGCTCCACCAACAAAGAAGAATGCAAAGATTCGATCGGCGGGAAGTGGTCTGTATGTGCCTTAATTCTTTCACATGTTTTTGCTTTAATTGTTTTTCCTCGTAATAGAGCTCAGTGGTGATCTTCGTTCTCGTCCTCTTCTCCGGCATTCCAAACTCATGGGTGTGTTGTGCTGCTATTTTGCAACTGATGCGGGTGCCCAATTTGGCCACTCGAATGCTGGGGGACTAAACGTGGTCGTCGCCAGAAGAAGTGAGTGTTAAGTTTTGGTTGATTCTTGACTCTTGATTCTTCATTGCAAGTGTCTTATGCTAGTGGGGATTCAAATTTGAAATTGTGTTTGTTTTAGTTTTGATTGTGTTGATTTTATGAAATGCATTGCAGTTGGTTTTAGTTTCAATTTGCACCAATTTAACGTTACGTCTCTCTTTCTTCCTCTCCATTACAATTAAATATTTTCTTAGTCCGCCCGCAACAAGGGCTTGTTGTGCGTTACAAAACCAAAGCCCAGTCATGTCTTTTGGACTGTTGCTCAACATGTTTCGTTAACTGCTGATTTATGCTCTCTTCCTACTGGTATGTCTGTGTCGTTAGTGGAAAGCAGTTAAATGTTTTAGTTCTTACTTTTTATTCTGCGTTTTTGCTGATTTGTTCACCTTTAACGACAAATGGGATTCTTTTTGTTTCTCCAAATAATTCACAATCGTTTTTTGTAATACTTTTTCCAGTATTCATTTTCATAGCTTTTGTGCTGTTTTCAATTGGGCTGTTGCAGCTGATGGTTAGTATCATTTCAATGCATCCATGTGTTTGCAACTCTTTCACGAATTTGTAAAATTGTTCTTTTTACCCCAGTTGATCAATATGCTCTCAAGTAACCGCCCACCTGCGACGATTCCTGTTCCTATTCCGCCACCTCGATCAAAAAAGAACAGTGACGTTTGTTAAGCCCTTCTTTCCCCCTTTGGTTGAAGCAACAATGGGGAACTTTGATCTCTTCTTTAAGTAGAGCTTGCACAGGATGTAGTATTTCTTGTAATTGGGCAAGTTGTTCGCTGAGCAAAGCTTCAACGGTGCACTTGTTTCAAAACCGATCTTTGTTATAATTATTTATCCGTTGTTTCCCTTTGTGATCAAAATTAAAATGAACCTTTTGCATGTGGTATCGACTATCGAGCAGCTTATATGTGAATGTGTTTTGAACATTATTGTATGACCCTGCATTCATATCTCAGGATAACATACATATCCCATACTGACTGGAATTGTATTTTGTGACCTCTGACTCTGAAACATTAGTTTAGTATTTTGATTTTATACTCCACACTTTAATTACTATTTTGATCCCTATATTATATCCCATTTTTAGTTTTGGTCCTTAAACCAGAAATACCCCCAAGTGGAGGTCAATTGGTAATTTCCGAAAATCCACCTCCCTAGCTGAAGCAGTTCTGAAAATTGCAGAATCACCCCTATACTTACTCAATCTTCCGAATCGCTCCACCAAAATTGCAAATTTGACCCCAAAGTGGATCTCTCTTTCAATATCCAAAATATCCTGTCGCATTTATTCTCACAAGTTTATCATAAATAATATAATAAATTAAAGTTTTCCTAAATCGTAAATCGTAAAATTTGATCGATTTGTTGACATGTAAGACAACAAATCCACCTACCCGACTGACACAATTTTGAAAATTGCAGAATCACCCCTATACTTACTCAATCTTCCCAGCCGCGCTACCCAAATTGCAAATTTAACCCCAAAGTGGATCTCTCTTGCAATATTCGAAACATCCGCCACCAACGCATTATGCTTCGACTCCACAGCTATAATCGTGTGTGACTCATTTATGAAAATTCGCAATACCGAGTTTAAAATCTTATGATTTACGATTCAAATCTTACGATTCAATTCATTCACACCTAAGTCGATTCAAAAGTTAAAATAAATCTTAAATATCAACAGATTTTACGATTTACTATTTAGGAAAACTATAATTTATTATATTATTTTTGATAAACTTGTGATAATTACAGTTTTTGTCTCTATATTATATACCACTTTAATTTAATAATATACCATTTTTTAATTTAGTCCTTAAACCGGAAATGCCCCCAAATGGGGGTCAATTTGTAATTTCTAAAAATCCACCTCCCTTACTGAAATAGTTTTTAAAATTGCAGAATCACCCTATTTACTCTTATCTTCCTAGCCGCTCCACCCAATTTGCAAATTTAACCCCAAAGTGGATCGCTCTTGAAATATCCGAAATATCCACCACCAACGCAGTATACTTCGACGACTCCTCAGCTATAATCGTGTGTGAATCATTTACGAAAATTCGCAATTCCGAGTTTAAAATCTGATTTACAATTCAAATCTTACGATTCAATTCGTTCATACCTTAGTCGATTCAAAGTTAAGAAAAAAAATTAAATATTAACAAATCGATCAAATTTTACGATTTACGATTTATGAAAAATTTAATTTATTATATTATTTATAATAAACTTGTGATAATTACATTTTTGTCCCTATATTATGTACCATTTTCAATTTTGGATCTTAAACCGGAAATGCTCCCAAGTGGAGGTCAATTTGTAATTTCAAAAAATCCACCACCCTGCTCAAACAGTTCTGAAAATTGCAGAATCACCCTTATACTTACTCCATCTTCCTATGCGCTCCACCCAAATTGCAAATTTAACCCCAAAGTGGATCTCTCTTTCAATATCCAAAATATCCGCTATATTTACGAGAATTCGCAATATCGGATTTTTGTTGTGTATAGGCTAACAAAAAAGGGATTTACGATTCAAATCTTACGATTCAATTCATTCATATCTATGATTCAAATGTAAAAATAAATCTTAAATATCAACAAATCGATCAATTTTTACAATTTTTGGTCCCTATATTATATACCTATTTCGCATCGCACGCGCCGTCATACAGGTAGCCTTTAAGGGAAGGAAGAAAATTAACTCCTCATTAATCAGCTCCGTAGAAAAATGTTAAATCGTCACTTCACATCGCCACATTCGACACAAATTTTACCTAATCGTAAAAAAAGTTAAAAAAAAAAGGCAGCCTAAAAATCGATATATGAAAGTATGTCGAAAATATATAATACGATAAGTTCTCGTATTCACCCGAGGCACCCGGCACCGCACATTGCGCGGTGCTCTACACTAGTATATATATATATATATATATATTAATTAAGTATATATATGGGGATCGTCCCCTTTTTTTTATGCCTTTTATTTTTGCTTTTTTTCTGCCCTATTTAAATACCAAACGTCGTCGTTCCGGTCTTCCTCTCCAATCACATGGCCGCGTTCTTTTCATTTCCCTTTTCTTCCCGAGCTGCTCGACCACGACCAATCTGCTTCTTTTTTTCCTTTTCTTTTAATCCGCTCGCTCAAAAACGGCGTCGTTTCAGCGAAGGCCTCCACATCTGGCCACAATTGTTGACCTCCATCGTTCCACCATTCGCCGCTTCCACGCCCGCCGCTGCCGCTTCGTTCGATGCCCACCGCCCCTGCCGCCAGCATCACTTCCCACCTCTTCTTTCACCCAATTGCAGACGCCGCCCTGTTCCACTTGCTTACATATTTCCTCAATCTTTTTTTAATATTATCCCGCATCTTCGCCACCTAAGTTATCTGTGCACCCCCACCTCCTTCTTCTCTCTGCCACCTAAGTTCCCAGGTTTTATTTAAAATTGCTGAAAAGTGTTGCATTTATTTTCGTTATTATCTGTTTTAAAGTGTTGATATAATCATGTTTGTATCACCGTTAATAGAGCTTCATTCTGTAAGAATTGTCTGTTTCTTTTCTTCCTCATTTTTTCTCAGTATTGCTGCCTCTTTAAATTGTTCTATTTAATTAATATTTGCATTCGATTTCGATTGTGTAAGAACAGCATTTATAGTATGCTTAGAAACTCATGTAAATCTGCCCCTTTTTGTTTTCGTTATCCATGACTGTGGACTGCTTAATTTTTCAATCCTGTATTAATTACTTTTCATCTCAAACGAGATTTCCGATCGTCGTCGTTTTGATAATTAAGCTAATTCTGCGGGTGTTTGCATTTTTCGTGATGCGCGAAGGTGGTGAAGGATTCGTCGAGAGATTCTAATGGAGTTCGCCGCAATGCTTTGGTGCTATCCGGAAGCAAAAGACCGTCGTCGGAGTCTTTTCGGAGCAGTGATGATCGTCGATTTAGCAATGCTAAAAGGTGATTGTTGCTTTCACCTTTCTACTGGTATTTGATTTCAATTTACTTTCTAGCTTGTGCATTTGTATAAGTGGAAATTAACAATTTTTGTTTGTATGATTTGTTGATTCAGAATGAGAGTGGGTGTGAGTGCACGGAGCTACGGGTACAACAGCCGTTTACACGGTAATAGTTAATTTCGTAAATAGATGCTCTCTCGTGTTAGATTTTTTCGTCTCTTTTTAATCAATAAATTTCATGCTGTATTTAAACTTTATTGCTGTAGATTCAAAAGATCTTCGCCTGAAACTAACACGCAAGAGAATGTCAAAGCATATAGAGCTCGAAAACGAGAAGCGTAAAAAGATGGAACTACACGAGAAGGCATCAAGAGCTACACCACCTTCTAGAAGGGCTGCTGAAACACAACCAATAGGTTCAACGATTAAAAATTCTTATGCTTCTTGGAATTCAAATGCAGTGAAAACGAGATCCCCCGAAAGAATTCGAAATTTTCTGGTGGATTTTCTAACAACCCCATGAATTCTATTGGCCAACTGCCACATGTACCATCAATTAGGCCGATAGATGCTTCAAGAGAAGAGCATTTGTCGATGAGGGATGCCTTGGAATCTTCTAGGCCTGATTTACCTATATTCACCACTTCGAGAGGTTTTCTGGATAATGGCAAGATGGTCACCGATCTTCCTCCAGCAACAGGTCGCATGTCCAGACCTATTTACCAGGTAAAAATCTATTTTCTCTCATATTTCGTTTACCTCGACTCCTCTGTTTTTGTTCAGCTCTGTTTTGGTGATTTTTTCCTTATTTTAAGATCATGCATTACAGCTTCTTCTACGGTGAGTGCTGGATCGCTTGCTGACCTGTCGAACCTTGCAAACACGAGCATCTACGGTTTTGAGGATTACCACGGCGTGGACATTGGCGTTGTGAGAGGCGTTCGTCTATGGTTCTCCGCTCTCGCGGGGGAGATACCTGTTGAGATCAAAATCAACGACACTGACACCAAGCTCGGATTCACCATCAGAAGAACTGAAGAGGTACCTTTATTGGAACGGAAACTTTCCGATCCGAATATTTATGATTTTGGAAAAATAGTTTCCGTTGCAAATTCCAGAAGTTCCGATTCCGATTTTTGTGATTTTTTTTTAATGGAATTGGAATACATATTAGATTCTGAATTTTGATCCGATTTTAATATGCGAAAGTATTCTCATTTTCTTTCCCAAATATTATACATTATGTGTTTTTTTATTATTAAAGGTGACTAAAATAGAGATTTCTTTCATCCCGATTTCCAAAATTCTGCTTTTTTGGAATGCAGGGGTTCATATACATATCGTCTGTGGTCGAAGCAGATAACCCTTCGGAGCGGTCGGGATTGAGCAGTCTCTACAAACAAGCATCGCTAGCATCAAGATTGCTCGTGGTTTCAAGAATATCGAACCGAAAGGTGCTCCCGTGAATGGTTTCTCCCGCAGGCGCAATCCGGTGCTTCGACACCGTTTCTCTCAGCCAAAAACTTTCGCTCCACCGCCACGCCAGGGTGGCAATCATAGTGCACGTCTTCTTGTGGGACCGGAGGGTGAACTACGCTAACGTGGGCAGCATCCGGGCCCGGGCCATGTCCACGTCAACGTCGAGCCCGCCTAATTTGGGGCGGCCCGTTAATCAGAGTCAGGTGGTGCCACTGGAAGTTGACGACCAAGAGGATTTGGAAGATGACTACGAGATCGAAGTTAGCGATGAGCCGGATATTACGCTTGAACGGAATAATGCAGGCGAGTTTTCGTTTCGTTTGCGCGATTTCGGTCTTACGGATAATTGTGTGTGAAAATGTGACTTATTATTATTATTACTCTTTTGTGTTAATTGTTGGTTTTTGTTTTGGGAAAACTTAACTGAGCAACTCACATTTCTTGTTACGTAGTTCTTGTTATTGTAATTGGTATACTTCATTATTTTATGTGCGAACTGTCGTACCTAATTTTTTTTCCTATCTGAAATTATTATTATTTTTTTTACTATATTTGAACCAATTTCTTGTAGACCGTAATGGAAGAAGTCTTCCAGCTTGAGGGTCTTCCCGGCTTCATTCCGTAAAAGGTACAGTCAGCATGGTTTTTCTACTTCCATTTTCTATATATATTTTTTTCATTTTTCATATTTCACTGAAAACTCTCTTTATTTGAAAACTCTCTCGCATCATCTTTGATAAAATTGCAGATTTGCGCTTCATTTTGCTGCCAAATTTTGATGGGCAGATGGCGATCTTCTTCAACATACATTAAAAAAATGTGATTTCTTGGAATCAGTTGGAAGCGCAGGTGCACTACTTCTGAATAGTTGTATGGATTGGCTTTCATATATACCTTTCTTTCATTTGCATCTCAAAATCTTGCTCGGAAATTTATTTCATCCTGACATTTTCCAAATGGATAATTATAATAAATATATTTATTCATCTATGTTGGCCCATGGTGATCATGAAGGCATCAATTTGAGTTTAAATGGATCTTCCAAAACCTCCATCTTTAATTTCATTATCTGGTATGTTTACTTTTTATGTTTACTAAAGTTGGATCCGAACGTGAAAAGGTGAAACACATTATCATTTTTACTTTTTATGCGCCTCGGTTTTACTTGTCTGAACAATGCTATGTGGAATTAATGGAGGAGTTTGAACAGTAGATAAACTAATAAAGATGCAATAGATTGAGGTGGTGTGAATAAAAAGCTAAGTGCCTCGAGCAAATTATTCGTCCAATAAGAGAAGATTTAACTGTTTATTGATCTCGTTACAGTTTTATTTATAGGTATTGATATCCTTATCCTCGATGAAACATAGTGTTGAAGAAAAAAAAACAATTTAATTGCTCTCTGTTTTTTTATAGTATATATTTGCAATGAAATCTCAATATTCACATATTACGATTTATTTAATATATAATGTATATATATCCGTGATCTGGTATATCAACTCTGTTTATTGTCGATATTGATTGCTTGTTATGGAGATGAGCTTGTTAAAGCCTATGAGATTTATAATTCACATTATACTCTTCTATTGCTAATAGACAAATGGGATTAAGTAATAATCTTGTGTGTGTGTTTATGTATACATATATAATTATAACAGATACGTAGTTCAAGTTCCATTGCAACACCGAAAATATTTTGTGGCCGATTCGGACATTTGTTTTTAAGTAAAATGCTAAATTAATTTAGAATTTTTTAATCATGACAATAAACATGTAGTCAGTAATCTTCATGTGGTACGGCTGTAATTGTTTTTATTCCTGTAGTTGCTATGTATTTGTAGAAGTTTATATGTATATTTATTTTTTGTGAAAAACTAGCGTGAAAGCTACATTATGGGATTGATGCTCTGCATAATGTTCAATGCACCGTCGTTTTTGTACGATAGGAGAGAAGACAACTCAACTATTTCCGATGCACTGTCGTTCAATAATTATAGGCGTGTTGGTTCTTAATTGTCTTTTTCTTTTCTCAGGTTGTGGAAGGGACTCAAATTTGTGGGGCGTCGAGAATTATAGGCGTTTAATTAAATCCAAGTTGTTTTGATGAAGGTCTGCTTAATTGCTCAATAAATCTTGAACATGCCATAAGAATTATGCATATATAGTACTAATGATTGCCATTAAATAATTAGTGTCTTAATTCTGTTTTGAAAACAGCAAAGATATTTGGTGTTACGAATCCAAAGGATTATGACATATTGTTTGCAGACACTTGTGTGCATGCTCACAGGGAGGAAAATCCGGAATGAAAATGCTCGTGCATGGTTGTAAAGATAGATGTGAGCAAAAATGTTAACTGTTTCCGTTAATTTTTAAAATATTAATTCCTTTCATTTTTTGTTTATAGACCCAATAATTTTTCTAATTTAATTTACGATTTTGTAGATGTTGCACCCGATGATCATACACTTCCAATCTACATATAATAATGCACGCATATTTATATGTATGCTTGGTGAGTAGTTATTTGTATAGATCTATGGTGCAAATCACTCGATGTTTTTTATATGATGCAGCAGCATCTCATAGACCTTTAATTTACTCGCAATCACTAGACTTAATATACACACATATGTAATAGTATATTTCAGTAAAATTTCATCGGATGCGACATAGAACATAAAATAAATGCAACCGATCTTATTTTTTTTGCATTCATTTTGTTTATAGTTACTTACACATTTCCCTCAAATCTCTTCCAATTTTTATTCTCTTCTTTCTCTTCACCATTGTCGCCACCGTTCTTACATTCTTCGCCACCACCACACTCCTCAAATGTAGAAATTTGTGCATGCCCTATGCCTCCGTTTAATTGAAGCAAAGAATAACCCGCTCATGTATCATCTTTGGGTTGCACAACATTTATCTTACTGGCTCCACAAAATGAACAAAATGCAGTATGAAACTGAACTATCCATGTGAGTAACTTAAGAATAGTCGATTCTTCTGTTCTTAAAGTCGGTATTATATATGGTCAGTCACTACGGGTGTATTCTAAAATAATGCAGCCGTTTCCATTTAATATTCACGAACGAAGCCGTTTGTTATGATATTTGGCTATTTTCTTTGTGAAAATTTGAAGGCAAACGTTTTTGGTATTTCTATGTTCTTGCAGGAGTATTGATGCTATAGTGATTCTTAACTATCATATGCAGAAGAGAACTGGAACAGTACGATCTGATGTGAAACAACCATGTCTCTACAAGAAAAGTACTCTTCTTATTTCTTCCAATTTTTTTCTTCAAATTTTGTTATGTGCATCCTAATTCTATGTATATTGGTGTTCATTGAAGAAGATATTTCAACTGCAGATTGATAAAAATAAATGGAATTTCTTGGCAGATTACTAAGGAGCTTTGAGATTTCCATGTTTGAGATGTACTAATTTTTTTTGCTGATCCATGCTACACTCAAGACTTATATATTATGTTGGCGAGGAATTCCTCTTATTTTAATGCCCAAAGAGGATTATATTTTTTAACGACAATAGTTATGTTGGATTCAAATAGTCATTTGTAAATAATTTGCAAAATCTACTTCTACATTATCGTGGTTATGAGGAGTATTTACATTCCAACTAATAAGTTATTAAGGTTTATTTGCTTCTAATTGTTTCATAGTTTTGGGTACTACACAGTATTGCATTGCGCATTCGCATCATCAACCCCGTCGAAATAATCAATCGACTCGTCCTGAAATGATGGCTGGGCACCGCGCATTGCGCGGTTGAACCCAAAGTGGATCTCTCTTGCAATATCCGAAATATCCGCCACCAACGCAACATGCTTTGACTTCTCCTCAGTTATAATTGCGTGTAACTCATTTACGAAAATACGCAATACTGAGCTTTAAATCTTATGCTTTAAATCTTATGATTTACGATTCAAATCTTACAATTCAATTCTCTTATGCTTTAAATCTTATGATTTACGATTCAAATCTTACAATTCAATTCATTTATACCTAAGTCGACTCAAATGTTAAAATAAATCTTAAATATCAACGAATTGATCAAATTTTACGGGTAACAATTTAAGAGAACTTTAATTTATTATATTATTTATAATAAACTTGGGATAGTTACAGATTTGGTCCTTATTTTACATACTTTTTTTTTTTTAATTTTGGTCCTTAAACAAGAAATGCACCCCATGTGGGGGTCAATTTGTAATTTCTGGTAATTCACTGAAACAGTTTTGAAAATTGCAGAATCGCCGCTATACTTACTCCATCTTCCCAGCTGTTCCACCCAAATAGCAAATTTAACACCAAAGTAGATCTCTCTTGTAATATCCGAAATATCCGCCATCAACGCAGTATGCTTCGACTCCTCAACTATAATTGCACATGACTCATTTATTAAAATTCGGAATACCAAGTTTAAACTCTTTTAATTTACGATTCAAATCTTACGAATCAATTCAATTCATTCATACCTAAGTCGATTCAAAAGTTAAAATAAATCTTAAATATCAACAAATTTTACGATTTACTATTTAGGAAAACTTTAATTTATTATATTATTTATGATAAACTTGTGATAATTACAGTTTTTGTCTCTATATTATATACCACTTTAATTTAATAATATACCATTTTTTAATTTAGTCCTTAAAGCAGAAATGCCCCCAAGTGGGGGTCAATTTGTTATTTCTGGAAATCTACTTCCCTGGCTGAAACAGTTATAAAAATTGCAGAATAACCCATATACTTACTCCATCTTCCCAGCTGCACTACCCAAAATGCAAATTTGAGCCCAAATTGGATCTCTCTTGCAATATCCGAAATATCGTCCACCAACGCATTATGCTTCGACTCCTCCTCAGTAAAATCGTGTGTGACCCATTTAAGAAAATTCGCAATACCGAGTATAAAATCATATGATTTACGATTCAATTCATTGATACCTAAGTCGATTCAAAAGTTTAAATAAGTCTTAAATATCAATAAATCGATCAAATTTTACGATTTAGGAAAACTTTAATTTATTACATTGTTTATAATAAACTTGTGATAATTACAGTTTTTGTCCCTATATTATATACCATTTCTAATTTTGGTCCTTAAACCGGAAATGCCCCCCAAGTGGAGGTCAATTTGTAATTTCTGAAAATCCACCTCACTGGCTCAAACAGTTCTGAAAATTGCAGAATCACCCCCATCTTCATACCCGCTCCATCCAAATTGCAGATTTGACCCCAAGGATCTCTCTTTCAATATCCAAAATACCCGCCACATTTACGAGAATTCGCAATAACGAGCATAAAACCTTATGATATACGATTTAAATCTTACGATTCAATTCATTCATATCTAAATCGTCACTTCCCATTGCCACATTCAACACAAATTTTACCTAATCGTAAAAGAAAAGATAAAAAAAATGCAGCCTAAAATTTGATATATGAAAGTATGTCGAAAATACATAATACGATAAGTTCTTGTATTCACCCGAGGCATCCGGCACCGGGCATTGCGCGGTGCTCGACAATAGTATATATATATATATATATATATATATATATATATATATATATATATATATATATATATATATATATATTTATATATATTTGGATGCTACTACTGTAGTATTTCGTTTTTGTATTGCTAGTTTTATTTTTACCATCACATTTGTGCATTATTTTAGTAATAAGAAAGGTAAAAGTTTATCCTTTAGTTTTTATCTGTCCGCAAATCCGTTTTTG